CGTGAGGGGTGGCACCGAATTTCAGAAATGTGGCAAATCCCATGTGTTTTTGGACCCTGACCCCGCGGATCTGCGTGAGGGGTGGCACCGAATTTCAGAAATGTGGCAAATCCCATGTGTTTTTGGACCCTGACCCCGCGGATCTGCGTGAGGGGTGGCACCGAATTTCAGAAATGTGGCAAATCCCCTGTGTTTTTGGACCCTGACCCCGCGGATCTGCGTGAGGGGTGTCGATTTCGAGCCCCCCCAGCAATTCAGACAACGCGCCCAGGTGAGCTAAAAGTCTTGTTTGGGCCTCCCCCCCCTCGCGCGGTCAATCAACTAGTTACAGTAACCAGCAAGAAGTCAACTAGTTACAGTAACCAGCAAGAAGCAGAACTGTAACACTGGAAACTACAAGCTACAACTGGTACAGGAAACTGCGAATCACGCGCCTCGCAGCCTGGTGGCCCCACAAGGGGGCCGGCGGATCATTATTATTGTTCTTCTTTTTCTTCCTTCTTCCATCGTCCTCGTGCACTGCAGCCCCTGCCTCAGCCCTTGGGCGTGGCCGCGACGCCGCCCCGCGCCCGGCGCAAAGGGTGCAGCATTGGCTGGCCGCCCCGGCCGCTCCGCGGCGACTCTCGCCATGTGAGTGCGCTCCCTTCCCCTCCTCCCGCCTCCCGCCCCGCGGCCGCTTCCGCTTGTTTTGTTTTTTCCTTTTGCCACCAGGTAGTTCGCGATTTCCGTTGCCTTGACCGCATGGGCGCGCGTGCGAAGTTTTTATGCCGGGCTGCGGCGTTAAAAGCCCCACAAATGCATGAAAGGTGTTCGTTTCTCCTCCCCCGTCTACTATCCCCCCGTCAATGATCCACCGCCCGAAAAGAACCACGGAAGGAGAGATGATTCGTAGGGAACGCGGCGGGTGAAAGAGAAACACCGAGGCGGAGGAGGTGGAGGAGGGAGCGGTCACGGGAGCGCCGGTGGCGCTACAGGCCTTCTGAGGTTTTCCGAGCACGTGAGTTCGGAGGTTTTCAGAGACTTTCAGAGAGTCGCAGCCATTGACATTCCAACCCGTCGCAATGAAGATATTTCAGATCTTTGGAGGGGGAGGAGCAAGAGCGGAAAGAAGGACTCGCTTGACCTCGGCCACCATTGTGAACCCGCATAGTAAGGACGACCGACTTCCCAAAGCTGTCTTTGCATCCTTGCTTCTGCGGTGACCATCGGTCCATCCCCAACCACTTTCGATAACCAGCTGTTTCGAAGAGCTTCGGCATGGGCGTCCAGGGCCCATGCATCCTTACTGCGCGTCCTTCGTATGTGTGTTGACTGCAGGCTTCGCCCATCAGAGGCGGAACGGAGGCCACCGCCACCGAAAACCCGTCAGAAAAGGACCGGGGGCCCGGGCGGTGGCTCGCCCGGGCGTCGTGCGGTGCTGCTTGACGCTCGGGCGTGCCACCGCCCTGGGATCGGCAACCCTCGCTTCGCCCCGATGGGCTCCTCGGAGCCCAGAGGGTGGGAGGGTCAGAGGAAAAGGGGTAATGTCAGCTTGTGGTTAACGAAAGGACAAGCCCCCCTCTCGGGGCGTATGAATGGACCCCGCGGGGCGCGATACTTTTTTATATCACGCGCGCCAGGGGGAAGGAGGAGAGAGAAGGGGGAGGGGGGAGAAGGAGGAAAAGGAGGTGGACGAGGACAAGGAAGAGGAGAGGGAGGATGAGGAGCAGGGGAGGATGAGGAGGAGGAAGATGAGGAGGAGGAGGAGGAGGAGGAAGAAGAGGAAAGGGGGTTTGCAAAGCATGATGCGCGCAGCTGGTTTCGGTCGCCCCGCCGAAGGGCCAGTCCTCGACGCATGGCCGCTTTCGGCGCCAGGCGTTTGGAAAATCGGCGACGTGACCTGCTTGGCAAATCCCCCTTATGCTGCGCCCCACTTCCGTCCAGCCCGCCTTGCCCCCAGGCCCGCATCGGCTCGACAGAAGGAGAGGCGCCCTGGCTCGCCCTTGCCTCCAAACACCCCCCCTTTTACCTCGTTGGCGGCCGCCGCCCCGTTGATTTTCAATCTGGCGTTCGCCACCCCGCGATTCGCCCGAGCAGGGGAAGTATTGTTCAAACACGCGCCCGCACGGATATGCTAATCACAAGCTGACATTACCCATACCGCTACCCTTAAAGTCGGGCATGTCCTCTTATATGGGGAATATTCACAAATTGTCAAACATTGTCTTGGGACGACTTGTTTAGAATGTTTGAGTCTTTCTTTGCGTATTTTTGTTTTTTCGTCCAAGCTCCGCTTGTAGGAGGACAACCCCGACCTACCGCTACCCGTGTTTCGTTTTCTCCTTTTTGGGCCTGGGAGGTTTCGTGGCCACCGCTGGATTCGCTTCGATTCCGGTCAGCAAACGCACCCCCCGAGAGGTCCGGGGCTATCGGTATCGGTACCGATTGGTATCCCCGAATGGAGGATCAGTATGCGGCAAGTAAAGGAAGAACACACAAACAGGGGACGAGGAGGAGGAGGAGGAGGAGAAGGAGGAGGAAGAGGAGGAGGACGAAGAAAACGTAGTTGAGGAGGTGGAGGACGGAGCGGGAGCGGAGGGGAGATGACGAGACGGAAGAACGGGAGGGAGGAGGTGGAGGAGGGGGAGCAGGCAGAGGCGGAGGGGAAGTGGGGGAGGATACGGAGAAGGAGGAGGAGGGGGAGGAGGAGGAAGAGGACGAGGAGGAAAAAGACGAGAAATGGGAGGAGGAGGAGGAGGAGGAGGAGGAGGAGGAGGCGGAGTTGGAGGAGGTGGAGGAGGAGGAGGAGGAGGAGGAGAGGAGGAGGGGAGGGGGAGGGGGAGGAGGGGGAGGAGGAGGAGGAGGAGGAGGAGGAGGAGGAGGAGGTGGAAGAGCAGGAGGAGGAGGAGGAGGTGGAAGAAGCAAGAGGGGGAGGAAAGAGCGAGGGGAGCATGAGGCCGCTGCGCATCTTGCATTCGCCGCCCCCTGCACTTGCCCTCTCATCCTTTCGGGGCGGACGAAGAGCGGAGATGGCGAAAAGGGGGGATACGATGGAAATTGCTGCATGCAGGTTTTCTCGAGACACAAACGTTGCGTAAACATGAACTTTCGGAGCTTCGCGCGGATTTCTCGGGTTGGCGCTGGCCCCTCTGCGCGGCGCCTCCAGCGCCGCCCCGGGAACGCTCCGCGCGCCATGGAGGGGGGCACAGTGTTGATCCAAGAAATCCGCGCGGAACTCCGAAATCTCTCATATACCGGAAACCTGCCCCGGGGGCCCCCAGGGCCGAAGACCACCAGGGGCCACAATTGCACACTAAGTCCCCCCTCCCTCCCCGGAGCCCCTCCTGGGCCTGCCGGAGGCCTCCCCAATCAGACAAGACGGCCTAAGAAGCGCCCAAGACGGCCCAAGATACTCGGAAGAGGCGTCCAAGAGCGCTCCAAGAGGGCCCACGAACGCTCCAGGGGACCTCACCACGGCCCAGGACCGTCACAAGATGGCCTCAGGTTGCCTGAAGACGCTCCCAGGGGGCCCCGAAACGATCCCCAGAGGCCTTTACGAGGGCTGTAGGAGGGAAAGTTCATTGATTTTTCAATGGTTCTCGAAGGTTTTTCGGGTTCTTACTTTTTCGGGCCGACAACGGTCCAAAACGGCCCCAGAGGCTCCAAACATCGTCCCAAGACAGCCCAAGAGGCCCCCTGAAGGGTCCCAACACGGTCCAAGAGGGCCCCAAGACGTCCCCAGAGGAGCCCACAACGGCTCCAGAGCGCCCCAAGATTGCCCAAGAGGGCCCCAAGAGGGCCCAATGAGAGTCCCAAGAGGGCCCAAACAAGCTCCCAAGAGGGCCCAAGAGGGCCCAAGAAACCCCCAAGAGAGCCCCAAGACGCCCAAAGGCTTCCCAGACGCCCGAAGACGGCCCAAAAGGACCCGAACACGGCCCACGAGAGCCCCAAAAGGGCCCCGAAAGGGCAGACCCCCTGGACGACGACGACGACGACGACCACGGTGACGACGACGACGACGACGACGAGGACGACGACGACGACGACGCCGACGCCGACGGCGCCGGCGCCGGCGCCGGCGCCGGCGCCGGCGACGGCGACGGCGACGGCGACGGCGACGGCGACGGCGACGACGACGACGACGACGACGACGAGGACGAGAACGACGAGAACGACGAGGACGACGACGACGACGACGACGACGACGACGACGACGACGACGACGACGACGACGACGACGACGACGACGACGACGACGACGACGGCGGCGGCGGCGGCGGCGGCGGCGGCGGCGACGACGACGACGACGACGACGACGACGACGCGACGACGACGCCGACGAGCGCGTCCCCGGAGCCTCTTCCGAACCGTCCCAGAAGCTCCGCGGGATTCCGAATCCTCTCCAGTGCTGTCCATGACGTCCCAAAAGAGTCCCCAGACCAAGAGGCAGCCCAAGAGGCGCTCAAAAGAGGGCCCTGGGATGGCCAAAGATAGCCCCAAGGTGGCCCAAGAAGCCCCCAAGACGCTCCTAAGCGAACCCCAAGAGGGGCCCAAGAAAGAGAACTCGAACTGGCCTTTGGAGCCGCTCACCCCAAGATGGCCCCCAGGGCCCCCAACTCCCAGGAGGCTTCCAAGAGGCCCCCAAGAGGCCTCCAAGAGGCCCCCAAGAGGCTCCAAAGAGGCCCCAGGAAGCCTCCAAGAGGCACCCCAAAGGCACGCGCACTGACCCGACCCCCCTTCACGCCTTCAGCAACGAGCGAGTTGGCTTCGAAACTCACGGTTCTATTTTTTTCGAGGGCGTTCCCTCTTCCGCGCTATACGCTGGGCTGCGAGGCAGGTAGAACCTGAGCGCGCGCGAAGCGCGCGATGGTTCTAGTGTTATGTTTACGTTGTTTCCTCTTCCTCCCCCCCCCGCCGCCTCGGCCCCTGTCCCCCCCTCCTTCCACCTGACAAGTCGCTGCGACGTGAGCCTGAAGTAAGCCACCACTCGCCCACAGACGCGGGACCTACCCGCGCGAGAGGCCACCATCAATTGCCACAAGGCAGTGAAGCAGGCCGGTGGGGCGCACTTCGTGCTCCTCTCGGCCATCTGCGTGCAGAAGCCTTTGCTGGCGTTCCAGGAGACGCCCTGGGTGTTCGAGGGTGGATATCCGGAGAGGGAAACAACCTGCACAGGCCGAAGCTTTCGGAGCTGCGTGCGGATCTCCCGGATCGGCGCCAGCCCTTCCCCTCTGGCGATCGGAGCGCGCCAGGGGCGCCCCCGAGTCGCCGCCAGGGGGCCCAGCGTGCCGATCCGCACGGGACCCCAGGAGTTTCTGTGCATGGCGTTCTCTTGCGTGGTTCTTCTCAGAAGGCCCACACCTTCCTGCGGATTGGTGGCAGGAAGCGCGCCCAGGCGCGTGAACGTCGCGCAGTGGACGTCGCGTCCTGGCCCCCGAGGAAAATTTTGGTGCGGGCCGCGCATGGTCACACCACCCCTCCGCCCTTGGATACGGGAGGCGTGCGTGCCGTTGGACCTGGTGCCGTGGGTTGATGGGGGGGGGCGTGCGTGCCTCCGTGCGTGTGCGCGCCGGCGTGCGTGCGTGCGTGCGTGCGTGTGTGTATCTGTGTGTATTTGTGTGTGTATTTGTCTGTGTACGTGTGTGTGTGTGTGTGTGTGTGTGTGTGTGTGTGTGTGTGTGTGTGTGTGTGTGTGTGCGTGCGTGCGTGCGTGCGTGCATGCGTGCGTGCGTGCGTGTGTGTGTGTGTGTGTGCATGCATGCGTGTTTGCGTGCGTGTGCGTATTTGTGTGTGTGAGTGCGTGTGTGCGTGCGTGCGTGCGTGCGTGCGTGTGAGTGCGTGCGTGTGAGTGCGTGTGAGTGTGTGTGTGTGAGTGTGTGTGTGTGCGTGTGTGCGTGTGTGTGTGTGTGTGTGTGCGTGTGTACGTGTGTGCGTTTGTGTGTGGTGTGTTTGTTTGTGTGTTTTTGTGTGTGTGTGTGCCTTGATGTGCGTTGTGCGGGTGTGTTCGTGTGTCTGCTGCGTGGCCCTATCTGGTCACTGAGGCCTCGGGCGGTCAGACGCGCGCGCGCGGTGTGTTGCTTTCGACCTCCGCCTCGTCGCTGCGCGCGAGGCCGCGACGCCAGAAAGTGTGTTTGTGTGTGCGCGCTGGGCCTCTGCAGGTCCGACCCTGCCGCGTACTGGCTCGGCCCTCAGCTCGAGAGCCGCGCCTCTCGGCGGACACCGCCGCCGCAGCCGCACGCGCCTCGGCGCGCGCGCGCGCGCCCCCCCAGAGCGGGCCGCAGACGACGACCTTTGGCTCGGCATCGCTCGGACGAGTGCATGTTTTCCTCGGCGAGGACCATCGAGGAGCATCCTGACTGGACCGCTTGGCAAAACAAGCACGCGCGAAACCAAAAATGCACGGGGAATGGACGTCCGAGCAATGGCAAGATGGGGGGGACAGCGAGGGCTGCAGAAAAGAAGGGGCCCTCCAGGGCCCCTCAAGGGGTCCTTTGGGGCCCAACAGGGAGCCTTCAGGGCCCGAAATGGGCACCTTTCTCCCCCCCTCCCCCCGTATCGCCTTTCCAACAAGCGACGCCCACGCATCCAGCTTTCGGCGTCCTCCGCATGCCACTATCACGACGGCGGTCGTTCAAGCAATGCGGGTCGGTCGCGCAGTGGGTCGCGGGCGGGTCGCCTGGTGGGTCGCGTGTGGGTCGCGGGTGGGCCGCGGGCCGGGTGGTCGCGGGCGGGTCGCGGGTGGGTCGCGAGCGGTGGGTCGTGGGCCAGGTCGCGGGCCGGGTCGCGGGTGGATCGCGGGTGGGTCGTGGGCCAGGTCGACAACAACAACAAACAATACCAAACAACAGCAACATACACAAACAACAACAACAACAACAACAACAACAACAACAACAACAACAACAACAACAACAACAACGACGACAACAACAACAACGACAACGACAACGACAACGACAACAACAACAACAGCAACAACAACAACAACAACAACAATTACTAGCACGTGGGGACACTCCGTTCTCACCAGTGCCAGGGTTTTCATAGGAGGCGGGCAATACCCCCACTTTGTGGGGGGGCCGGTTCAAGCTCTACCAAATTTCCAAACGACTCTTCGCCACCACCCACACCCAGCTTCCCGCCCTATGACGTTCGGACACTTCACTTCGTGGCATGCGGACGACCGTGGCTACTATTCAGGGCCCCGCGGCCGACGACGACGGCGTGCGCGCGCGAAGAAAAAACGAATGTGTCCCGCATGGTATTATTTGACAGGGATGATGGCCCTGGCAGGTGCGCAACCGTTGTTGCAGAAGTTCGAAAAAGTTGCTCGCAAAAGCCCGTTTGACAGAAATGTTTAAAAAGTGTTGGGTTTCCTACGAATCCGCAAGAGCGCGCGGGATGAACTTTTGACATTTTTTTTTAAAAAAAAAACCTTGTTTTTTATGTTTTTATGTTAAAATCGCTACGAAAACTAAGGTTTTGGAAGGATTTCGTCTTGCGCGCGCGAATGTCCACTTTACCTTTTTTTTGCAAGGGATTCTTGAAGTTTGGTTATGTTAGAACAAGAAATGTCCACTTTAGCTTATTGTTTGCAAGGGAAAGCGGGCCGTAACAAAACAACCGGATCCGGACCAACCCGTTTTGCCTGAGACTTCCTCACGAAAATGATGAAAATGTGGCTGCGGCCTAGGCGCGGCGGGGGGGTCGTGCACCAGGGGTCCCAACAATAATTATTCTTTAGAAGTAATAATGTTCAACAACAACAACAACAGCAGCAGCAGCAGCAGCAACAACAGCAGTAGCAGCAGCAACAGCAGCAGCAGCAACAGCAACAGCCACATTGACAACGACAACGACAACGACAACGGCAACAACAGCAGCAGCAGCAACAGCAACAGCCACAAAGACAACGACAACGATAACGACAACGACAACGACACCAACCACGACAACGACAACGGCAACAACAACCACAACGACAACAACGACGACAACCACAACAATCCGCACCGCAGAACCTCACTTCAGCCATGCGCCAAGGGACAGTGAATGACCGTTATGCCCCCTCACTCTAATCTGCGTCTGTCACCGGTTTCTCGGTTGGCCCCCCACCAGCACACGTTCGGCGGTAATCAGCTTAGCGCATGCCGGTCTTGCCCTCGCAGTGTTGGACCAGCCGGCTGCGAAGCGAAAGGTGTGCGTGCGCCGCTGCCCGCCGCCCCCCGCCAGTGCCCCGTGAGGGGCCGGCGTCTTCCCCTCTTTCACCTTCTGGCTCTCAGGGCGTCCCTGGGTGCCTCGTTTAGCCCGGCGTTGGTTCGTTGCGCTGGGCGTGCGACTCTGAACGGCCGAGTGGCTCGTCGCCCCTAGTGCGCGAGCTGGGCCGATCCGCGCGCCTCCCTCGCCCTCTGCTAGACTTCTCCGCATTGCTACGCGCGTGGCCGCGACGCCAAAAAGTGTGTGTGTGTGTGCGTGTGCGTGCGTGTGCGTGCGTGTGTGCGTGTGCGTGTGTGTATGTGTCTGTGTGTGTGAGAGACTGTCTGTGAGAGTGTCTGTGTCTGTGTGTGCGTCTGTGTGTCTGTGTCTGTGCGTGTGTCTGTGTGTATGTCTGTGTGTTTGCGTTTCTGTGAGGGTGTGTGTGTGTGTGTCTGTGTGTTCCTGCGTTTGCGTGTGTGCGCGTGCGTGTGCGTGTGCGTGTGCGTTCGCGCGCGTGCGTGGGTTCGTGTGTTTGTGCATGTGTGTGTGGGCGCGGGCGCACGCCCGTGCGGGTGCGTGCGCCCGTGAGTATCTGCATCACGTGTTTGTTCCATTTGGGCCAGTCTGGTTAGACCGTGAGCGTACGCGATGCGCGGGCATGGTTATGTGGTGTTTGTTTGGCATACTGTCCATACCCTCAGTAGAATGGAACATCTCAGAGTCACAGAAGTCGTTGTTTAGACTAGCGCTTGGTTCAGTCTTCAGTCGTATTCAAAGCAGGCGTGCATTGTTCAATCTTGATTGAGCATCGGTCGCGTTGCATGCGTAGTTTTGTGGGGACGGTATTTGCTCGGCCAATGTGCACTTGCGAATGCGCACTTCAGCACTTCTGACGTCTAGCTGCGCTGTCAGGGATTGTTCGGCAGTGCTGAATTCCGGATGGTCTTACGTCCTCATCAGTTGTGTTCAGAGGCGTCGGTCCATTTGGTAGATGGGTGGGTTGTCCCCAGAGTGAGACGCTTTCCAGAGCTTGGATGAGATGGCACAGCGTTCTAAGGACCCGTCGCAGCATTGTCTGAAGCGTTCGACAGTTTAGCCCTCAGTTATCCTGTACCAGTTTTAGCTAGCATGAGAGGGATACAGAGATGCCCAGGAGGCAAAGTTGAAGGCCGAGGCATACATAAAGGAGAACAGTGGGGACATGGCGTACTACCTTGTTCAGGCGTCCCCCCTGGATGCTGCTATTGCTATCCAGGTTTCTCTATTCCTGCTCGGTTCGGTCTGGTGATGTGCGACGAGCTGCGCTGTCATAGGTGATTGCCGCAGCGTTTGCCCGCGTTGAACTTCCAAATGCTTGAAATTGCCACAAGGCGACCCTGGCAGGTCCCGACTGAACATCTCGTTTGTCCAAACAGGCAATTCTATCCCCCATCCACGCCAGAACGGTCTCCGATCAGGCCGTTGACGGGACACCAATCAAGTTGAAGCAGGAATCAGCCCAAAAAGGTTTTCGATATAGTTTGGTTGTGTTGATGCTCGTTTGATGTATCACGTTAATGTCGTGCATTTCTGCTCGGTTTCGTTCTTTTGAGCCTTGTCAGGATTAGTGTTTGGCGTAGCTTTAGGCGCAGCCTGAGACTTAGGCTTCACGTGCGGCCCATCGAAGGTGAGTCCAGGTAAGATTACCTCAGTGCATGTCAGCGAGGGCTTACGTAGCTTGGCTCAGATTGCTTACTTTAGCGTAGCCGAAGCCAGCCTTGCTTCCAGTTGTCTAGATTTGGTCCACATGGTGTAGCTGAGCTCAGGCTAGCCGCTCTCAGTTGATATCATAGTGCGCTCGCTTAGCTTAGTTTTGTCCAGTCGCTGTTTTTATAGCTCAGCGCGTCCTGGCATAACCAACGCAGAGTAGTTCATCGTGGCTTAGCTGTTACGGTCTCCTCAATGGCCAGCTGTGAGCTGTTTAGAGGTCCATTGGAGCCTATTGGAGCCATCTCGCGACTAGTGGTTTCATTACACCAACTGACAGCAGCACACACAGTCTACTCGGTATTGTTGTAAGGTCGTACCCAGCTGTATGCGGCAAACCCCGCCACCGAGCCTGTGCAACAGCGCAGCAGGAAGTAGACGGAGTGCAGGAGCAGCTCAATTCCGACGACCGGTCTGAAGTGGGACGGGACGTGAATTCGACCCCGTCTTCGTCTACGCGGTGCGGGGGAGGTCGAGTTCACGCCCCGCTGCAGTTCAGCGAGCGGTCTGAATTGAGGCGGGCCGTGAATTCGACCTTATCTTCATCCGCCCGGTAGAGAAGAGAGGGAAATTGAAGACAAGGAGGGGAAGGCCTTTTAGGGGCTTTCCAGGTGCCTCCCGGGAGCCTGCTAGGGGCCTCTTGGAGGCCTCGCGGGGCTTAGGAGAAGTTCTTGGCCCGTGCACGTCTGACGCCTTCGGAAGCCGTCTTGGCGGCTTCTCTGGGCCGTCTCGGTACTCTCTTGGAGCGCTTTACGGCCGTCTTTGGACCATCTTGGGGGACTCTGGGGCGATCTTGGGTCCCCTTGGGCCGACTTCGGGCCCTCTTTGGGGGCCTCATGTGCTGTCTTGGAGCTATCTAGGAGGGCAATTGGGCCTTCTTTGGCGGTCGAAGCCAAACCCGCGACCCATCCCTCGACCCACCCGCGACGCACTCGCGACCCACCCGCGACCCACCCGCGACACACCTACATTGCTTTGACGAAAATTCGGCGCCTGCGGCGGGCTCGTTGATTGTGTTGAAAAATCGGCGCCTGCGGCGGGCTTCTTCAAAGCTTCACAGGCTGCCGACGACCCCGCCGCCCCTTCACTCTTATCCACAACTGCGGGGTGCTACAATATGACGAATGGAAAAGAATGTTTGTACCCTCGGAGACCTCTAGGAGCCTCTTGGGCCGTCTTAGGGGGCTCTTTGCCCGTCTGACGTCTTCGGAGGCCTCTTTGGGGCGTCTCTGGGCCGTGTAGGTTCCATCGTGGAGTGCGTTAGGGTCGTCTTTGGGCCCTCCTGGACGTGGCGATCTTGGGACGTCTCCCGCCCTCTCTAGGGCCCTCTCGGGAACCTCTTCGGCCGTCTCGGAGCTATCTTGAAGGACTCTTGGGCCGTCTTGGGCGGTCGGGAACCGAAACAGGCGAGAATCTCAAACGCCTTCCAAAACCTACAGGTAATTCATGTTTCCCTCTCCTTAGAGCACCAAGGGTCCGGTTCGGGCCGGTTCGGCGGCGGCCCGGTTCGGTTGCAGCGGTTCGATTTCGGCGGCGGTCCGGTTTGAGCCGGTTCGGTTTTGCGTCGGGGCGGATTCGGTTTCGGGCGGTCCGGTTCGGGTGAGGAGGGGGGGGGAGGAGGAATGGGCCGAAGAGGAGGAGCTGGTACCGGGGGGACCCTCCGCGGCGAGAGATGAGGGAGGGGGGGGGAAGGAGCAACGCAGGAGAGAGGCAGGCAGGGAGGGAGGGCCCTGCTCCTCCTCCTCCTCCTCCTCCTCCTCCTCCTCCTCCTCCTCCTCCTGCGCCTCCTGCTCCTCCTGAAGGTGCTGCTGCTGCTGCTGCTGCTGCTGCTGCTGCTGCTGCTGCTGTTTCCGGGACCAGGGGAAGTCCAGGACCGGGGGGGGTCCGGGACCGGGGGCTCTGGGACCGGGGGAGGTCCGGGACCGGGGGGGTCCGGGACCAGGGGGGGTGGGACCGGGGTGTGTGTCTGGAACAGGGAGGGGGTTTGGGGGTGCGGGACCGGGGGGGTCCGGGACCTGGCGGGGTCCGGGACCGGGGGGGTCCGGGACCGGGGGGTCGGGGGTCGAGGGGGTCCGGGACCGGGGAGGTCCGGGACCGGGGAGGGTCCCCGACCGGGGGGGTCCGGGACCGGGTGGGGTCCAGGACAGGGGAGGTTCTCGTCGACCCCCTCCTCCTCCGCTTGTCCTTGGTCCTTCGTCTGCGTTGGAGTGTGGGGTTTTCTTGGATCTTTTTTTTGCCGTTTCGCGCGGCCTCCTCGGGCGGCGTCAGGGTCCAGGCCCGTTCGAGCCGGTTCGGTTCCGCCGGTTCGGGTTCGATTTTCGAGCCGGTTTCGATAGGCCAGTTCGGTTCGAATCGGCCGGTTCAGTTTCAGCCGGTCCGGTTTAGGCTCCGGTTTGGGCGGTGCGGTTGGAGGGGCCGCCGGTTCACGGTTACCAGTTCGGTTCAGACCTTTCTTGTTAGAGGCCTTTGGTGTCCTTTTGGGGGTCTCTGGGAGCCTTTCGTGCCCTTTTGGGCTGTGTTCGAGAGCTCTTGGTCCGTCTGACGCCTTTGGAGGCCACCTAGGGACCTCTCTGGGCCGTCTTGGTGCCCTCTTGGAGCGCGTTAGGGTCGTCTTTGGGCCTCTTGGACGTTTCTTCGGCGATCTCAGGGTCCTCTTCGGTCGTCTTGAGGCCCTCTCGGGAACATCTTCGGCTGTCTTGGATCTATTTTGGAGGTCTGTTGGGTCGCCTTGGGCGGTCGAAAACCGAAGCAGGCGAGAACCTCAAAAACTTTCAACAACTTGGTAATAGCAATGCTTCTTGCCTCCTCGGACTCTCCTGACGGGCCTCTTCGAGCCCTCTTGGCTCGTATTGGGAGCATCTTACGCCGTCTTGAGGCCGTTTTGAGCAGTTGTGGTGCCGTCTTCGCTGTCTTGGAAGCCGTCTTGGAGACCAGTTTGGCTGTCTGCTGGCCGATGGGAGCGCCAAAGAGCAAATCAGGGGGGAAGGGTTTAACCGTCCTTGCGGCAAGGAGGGCGGGACGGCCGTAGAAATATTACAAAGCCTCCACCAAGGGAACAGACGAGCATTCTAATTGCCGTTTACTGTGGCTCAGGGGGCACTAGACCACACATGGCAATGTGTCGACACATCATGCGTCAGCTGCTCGCCTGCGTCTTCCTCTTGCGCTAATATACATAACTTGACATCGCTGTGACGTGTACATATTCCCTTCGGCGACGACCCTAGAGGAACACCTTGCATCATCTGGCAAATCAACAACCGCACGAGCTCGAGAAATGCACGGGGAATGAAGCGATGGCGAGAAAAGAAGTAAACGCAGCATACTAACCAACTTGATTGCACGGGATTTGAATCGACGGGCGGAATACAATCTCAGCAAAACATGGAATTTCGAACATATAAGAACACATTGAACACTTGTTGCACGACACCGCCATGCACTAAACACACACACACTCACACACATACACACATCGTGACAACTCGCGTTTGTCAAGGCAACGTTTTTTTTTCCACTCGAGCACAGGCGATTGTCCGATCTCACCAGGGTTGGGCAGAGGGGGTTGGCCAGAGGCGGTTGGCCGGAAGGGTTTTTCTAAGTGTTGGGGGTTGGCTGGGGGGTGGTTTGGCTCATCGCTTCAGGAGAAGATTGCACCGTCGCGAAGAGCCGGCGGAGTAAATGCCACACATACCGCTACCCTGCGCCCGTTTTTCCGATTTTGGGGCCAACCGTTGGATTCGCTTCGACATTCTGGTCAGAACGCACTCCAGGAAAGGTCTGGGGAGTAGCGGTATCAGTGCCTATTGGTTTCCCAAGAGTATATACGAAGTTTTCCCACTGGAAGCGATCGTGTCGAATATCTGTTTTGACTCGCCGCGAAGTCTTTGGCATATCATCTTCAAGCTTCTCTTCTGCCATCATCCGTCTCGTCCTCTTTCCTCCCTCACTCTATGTGCGTCTGTGGAGGTAATTGCGGGGCTTGGGCGTGGCAGGTTCGGGCTCTCGCGTTGCGGAGTTCTATTGACGCCGCCTTAGTTTTTGGCCAGAGCCCTTGCGCACAGCTTCTCAAACGAGTTACACAATGGATTGGGGTCAAACTGTTGGCATCATGTCTTACCTGAGCCACGCTTGCGTCAAGCTGGCCAAACTCCAGCATCAGGGGCCCGAGCCTCCACGCGGCGGCTGAGACACATGTGCCTTCCTTTGGGTCCCTTCCCAATCTCCCTCTCTCTCTCTCTCTTTCCGCCATCTCGCCCCGGGCCTCGTCATCTTCGAAAGGCGTCCGGGCGCCAAGCCTCGGAAATCCAATGGGGGGTTTGTTAGGGGTTGGTTAAAGGCTGGCTTGGCTCAATTTCCACCCTTGCCTCTTTCATCCCAGGGGTTCCTTTCTTCACGTTCCTCCTCCCCTCCCACCGCTTCCTCCTCCTTCTCTTCACCCCGCCGCCCGCGCCCGTCCCCGCGGACGCACTCGGA